TTCCAAGTGGCTATCTAATCTTTATTAGTAATTTGCTGCATCCTTGATAGGTCTCAGACTAATCAACACAGTGAAAGAAATGCAAGGAAGTTTAACTTAAGAACGTTACAGAAAAGAAACAATTTGCAGTTGGACAAAGAACTAGAACTGAGGAGATGCAAGTTCAATTTCATGCTATGCCACCACTTTCTGCATTAACTCAAGCAAGCAATTTAATCTCTCTGGTCTTTGTTGTCTCATTGACACTTAGTGAAGAACTCAAGCAGGAATCCAGGTTTTTTAATAGTTCTAAGGCAGGAAGAGGTCACCTGTAAATCCAAACATTGTTAACAAAGACATACTGCGTTATAACAGAAACTCTCTAACAGACCTATGAACATAATAACAGAACACACATGCTAACAGGATAGATGGCAAAATTAATTAAAAAATAGCCAAATAAGGAATACAGAAGTGAGGGCCACCAAACCCAGCTTTCTACAACCATGGAATGCTTTCACACAAATCTAAAATAAAACGCTTTCATAAGCTCAGTTCTTAAAATAAGTTCCATGTTGTTATTGTTGTTCTTATGCTGCTCCTACAAAAACAAAAACAAAACCCAAAAAAGCTTCTGCAAAACTTTGTTTTTGTTACTCCCATTGGAAGTCTGTTCCAGATACTCCCTCCTAACTGCCAGGAAACTTCTTCTATATTTCCAGTGTATTCACAATCAGATAATACCATTTGTTCTTGCGCCAGTACTGAACAGCAACATGTGTTGTTCTTGATTAATAGTTATTCCCATTAGTATTTTTGTGGAGAGCAATGCTGTATCATCTCAGGCTTCATTTTAGTTGTCAAAACAACTTCAGCCCCTCTTGTAAAAGGGACTCGCTGTTCCTGGCATCACTGCAGTAGTCATCTCTGTAACTGCTCCAGTTAGAACTAAACTTTCTTGGGTGATCAGAAACACGTGGAAGAAAAGTGTACAAGAAATCTCACGAATCCTTATGCATTGACACCAACACTTCTCCTTCTGCTGGAAGTACCTGATTTGACAGACTGGAAAGCACCTGCTGCTATACCACCCTGTTGCATTGCTGGCTCAATCATGTTGCTACCAGGCTATAAGACTATGGTCATTCTCACCTGTTGTCATTTACAAAGTAATTAATGTGCAGTTCACAGCAAAAAATTGTATTACTTTGTCCTAGCAATATACATTAAAAGCTATTATTAAATTTTCTATTATCCAGCCTTTTAAGTAATTGTTACTGTTCAAATAGAAAATAAAGTCATGTTTCAATCCACTCCACGTGAATCCCGACCTCTGGTTCAACCATTCATTTCAATTTGTCACTTGTTGCTGTCTGACAAATCTCCCAAGAAAGAAGTTCAGAAAAAAAAAAACAAACTCAGGTCTTTAAGTGGGAATATGGAAGCTTATCCTCAAAACCAACAGAAAATAATTTTTAAAAATTTCTAAATTATTTCAAGGGAAACACAGAGCACCCTGATCCCTGATAAAAGGCAGTCTCTCACTCATATGTAGCAACTTTTGTTCCACAAGTATTCCTCCAACCTATTAAGTATCAGGAGTCACTTACAGGCAGACCACGATACTATAAGAAACAATATTATTAAAAAAAAATGAGGTTAAGACGATCACTCACAATTAGTATCCTGGACAATCAGAAAAATTTCAGACATTAAAAGAAACATCTTTTCCTTTTAAAAAATGTGTACCACTGGTTTTATAAACACTTTACTTTTCCAAGGCTAAATGTTCAAAAAGCCACAGACAACCATGCTGAACACCAGCAGTGTCCTCATAAACAGTCAGCTCAGGTCTTTACTCTGAATTGTAATTCTTCATGTCTTAAATCTTCAGCTCAACCCTGATAAATTAGTTTCTTCAGCATTTCAGTTTTTTTTAAAGGATTATCCTGGGTTTATCTTCTATGGCTAGAAACAAGAACCTAAATGGTTTGCCAAAGAATGTATTTCAATTCTGCAAATATTTCCTTTATAAGACTGCATCAGCTCAGGTCTTTACTCTGAATTGTAATTCTTCATGTCTTAAATCTTCAGCTCAACCCTGATAAATTAGTTTCTTCAGCATTTCAGTTTTTTTTAAAGGATTATCCTGGGTTTATCTTCTATGGCTAGAAACAAGAACCTAAATGGTTTGCCAAAGAATGTATTTCAATTCTGCAAATATTTCCTTTATAAGACTGCAACCCTTCTACAATACAGAACACCCAGTCACACCCAATTGTGCGTACTTAGGGCTTTTACATTCTCAAAGCAAAAGAAGATGCTTCAGAACAGAAGCTGGTTCTCATATCTCCCCATCACCATGTTTTAACCCAAAGCTCTCTATACCTTTTAACACACCATCCCAAAGCATTATGCCCATGCATGTCCATCAGCTGTTCCTTATTTCTGCGTCCCTAAAGGCC